AGTTAAGCTGTGACAAAAGCCCCAGTTTTGGGCAGTCCAGGAGCTCGGAAGCCCAGCCGCCAGGAGAAGCGGGGCACACACCTGCGACTTACCTGTCTTGCCCACGCTGCTGCCTCCCAGCACCACCAGCTTGATGATTTTGTTGGGCGCACAGTCCAGCACGGGGTACTCGGGGATGGGCAGCAGCAGGAAGTTGGTGGAGTACTGAGACATCGTCTCCTCAGGGATGAGAAGCATTCCAGAAGGGATGGCTCCTCAAGCCGATGTGCGGGAGAAAAGCAGCAGCGCGGCTCCCCGGCGCCTGTCCTCGGCTGGATCTCCTCGCAGCGAGAAACCCTCTCATCCCACTGAAGCTTTCCCGAGGAATGTGAGAGCGCCCGGCCTCCTCCAGCCGATTCCTGTGCTCAGACAGAGCCTTTGGAGAGCCGAGGGAACTTTTTGATCAGCCCCCGTGAAAACTGACTCCAGCATCCCGCAGCCAATCACGAGGGGACCGGGACATTCCTGCAGCCGGCATCCAGCGCTCCTGGATCCCTCCCCACCGGCTGCTTTATGTGCTGCCCCTTGGCTGGCTGCTCCAAACCCAGATTTTGGGGCTTTACAGCCGTCACGGGAGCGCTTTCAGCGCGGTGCGGTCACCCCTTCATGCTCTGCTGTAATTCTGCTTTGAATAATCCGGTTCTGCCTGTCCAGTCCCTTTGGCTTTCCAAAGGCTCCAGCTCCGCGCTCTGTTGTTCTCTCTGTGCCATTGTGTGCTGTCCTTCCACAGCCCCGCAGATGGGACCCTGCTCTTCGGGATAACAAACGCATTTCCATCCCCCCAACCAGAGTTTTCAGGCAGCTGTGGGATATTCCCAAATCCCAGCTGACACCTGAATCCTCCGGGATACATTTGCTTTGCTTTGTGCGTGCTCTGAGTCCTAAAGGGCAGCGTTGGGGTGGGACACTGCAGGCTCTCCAAACACAGGGAAGTGAATTTAGGGCTGGTGACAGACTTGGGAAGCTGAGGAAGGACTGGATTTCTTTCAGAGGGAATGCATTTTCTCTAGGAAAACGGAGTGGGGTTTTAGGACAGCTGGCAGGGTCTGTGGGATGACAGCCTGGAACTGAACACTGGCTACAATCAGCTCTCAGTTCTCTGGGATAACAGGGAGGGAAGAACACTGAGGAGGGAGTGACCCAGATAAAGCAGAACTGCAAATAATATGAAACAGATGTAAATTAAACTAAAAAAAAAATAATGTAGTTGGAAAAACTTCTCGGAAGGGAGCAGAGGCAAGGCTGGGACATGGACTCTGTCAGGCTGTGTGGGAGATGTGGATGGGAATGGAGAGCAGGGTAACCCCCAGAGCTCACAGACACCTGGGGACGCAGCTTTTTCTGCAGGCAGAAGATGGGCTGGGCTCACTCTGGAGAGTTTGCAGCCCCCAAAAAGCCTCTGTGTGCCCAGCTGCTCTCAGGGCTCTGCTGTGACCCACAGCACACATCTGACCCTCCCTAGCAGGATCCAGAGCCAGGGTGGCTTCCCAGGGATGGGAAATCAGGGCAGGGTGTAAATCACTGCTCCTGCCCAAAGCTCCCATCCCAGTTTGCACACCAGCATCACCCAGGGCTGGTGAGTGTGAACTGCCCCAAGGGAAATCCAGCTTTGGGGCACAGCAGTGAAATCAGCACAAGAATCCCAAGGTTTATGGAAATGTCACTTTTCCAAGGTTCTGCTCCCCCTCTAAAACCTCGTTGTGCAGCAGAATTTGTGCAGTGATGCTCTGCGAGCTCCCAGCCTTGTTCCTGTACCCATCCTGGCAGCTGATGAAGAGGAGGAAAAAATGTCTGGAGGCTGATGCAGCTCATGGAACTGGGAGAGAGCTGCTGGATCCTGTGTCTTCTGGGACATGGCTCCTCTGGGAATGGTTTGCAAATCTTCCAGTGTCAATTTGATTCCAGACTTTTGCAAAACCCCAAACCTTGAAAAGAAAACATTTTCCAGGAAATTTCATTACCGGGGTGCTTTAATCTCCCACAAGTTTTGTAAGAAGAGGCAAAATGACAGGAGGAACAGGCAAAAAAGCTCAAAATCTCGTGGTCAATTAATAGGGCAGAACTTTGAAATGTGTTATTGAGCTGGACAGTGATAAATTTGGGATCAGTTAGCAGCAGTAAGTCACTGTCTGCCTCTCGGAGTGCTGGAACCTTTGTTACCATTTGCTATTAAAAGCATATGTTAGTGAGTAATATAAAAACATTCATCACAATAGTCGTCCTCCAAAACCAAACAGTCATAGATCTGTCAGCTCCTACGTGGCCAGAAGAGCTCCAGCCCAGGAAAAAAATAAAGCCAGATAAGTTCAGAAAGACCATGAAGAATATTCTATATGAGCAAAGACATTCCTAGAAGAAAACAGCTCTGCTGGCTTGCTCCAAGAGGGAGGCACGTTCAACTGGAAAAAAAAAAAAAAGTTAAAATCATTTTGGGTAACCAAATGTGGTGCTGAGGAACACAAAAGGGAGTCAGAGGCACATGGAGGGTGAGCTTTGGTCTGGATGAATGCGAGGCAGACAAAAAGAATGCAAACTGTGCTCCAGTGATGCTGAGCTTGGATATGGCACTCGAAAATCAGGAGTCGCAGCCATGGGCACGGAGCAGCTGCTGCTGAGCAGGGACAGGGAAACTGCTCCATGTGCTTGCAGGGCTGGATCTGCTGCTGACACGGGAGAGGGGATGTGTGGGGGCAGGAATGAGACAGCAATGCTGGAGGAAATGTTGAACTGCTGCTCTTGGCAGCTCTGAGGGCTTCTGGTTGCTTAAAACAAATGTGAAAGCAGTTGTAGGCTGCGTGTTGGAGGCAGAGCAGAGGAGTTCGAGTTCTTTTGCTAATATGGTTCAACACGAGTTTCTTCTGCACCAGCCCAGGCTTCTTGTGCTTCTCCCCAAAGCTCAATCCACCCCGTGCAGGAATCTCTGTGCAGAGAGAAGGGCTTTTAGTACAAATCAAAAAGCAGTTTTCAATCTACTCTTCCCCTCCTCTTAACTTTGAGGCTTTAATTCTGAAAGGATTCAAGTAAAATACAGAATCAAGCCCAGAGGTTTTCAAACATGGTCCTTATCTGATTTTCTCCATTGCCAGAGCAGCCTTTTCACAGAGTGAAGCCACAAAGAAGGATTCACACTCTTTGAGATTGTATAACCCTTGGCATGTGGAATAATAATTGTTTTTAAAGGAGATATTCATTGTTTGTGCACAATGGACTTATATTTAGCTAAGAAACCCATGTTTTAAATTCAAATTCTCTTGGAAAAACAACAGCTTAAATTAGAGGGGGAATGTTTGCAAAACTGAGAGTGGCTTTGGGAACATTTGGATGGCTCTGGAGGTTTCACTTTACCACCCCTTGGGCTGCTCATGCAAAGATCTGTGCCTTTGCATGGTGCACAGAGATTGTTATTTCCACACCAAATTTTTTACAGATTTATTTACTGGTCTATGTTTCTTTTGGCACCGTTTGTTAGAAGATTTTCTATTTATATTGTTGTTGGCCCTCCTACACATCTTCAGACATGAAGCTTGCTAAAAATAAAAATATTTGCCATGACCATAGTGCCTGTCACAGGACGATGTCAGAGTGCTTTAAAACTGGTTGTAATTACTCTTCATGCATTGTACAAAAGGAGTAAGAGAAGAGCAGAGCCAGAGAGACCTTGCTGAAATCCCAGCAAGGACTGGAAACCATTGGGAAAAACGTTTCTCTTTCTGCCTAGCTCTGGCAGGAATGATTTTTCCTCCAGAAGTTGATTTGTAACCATCACATTTGCCTCTGGTACAATCTTTCATAGGATATATTGATGTTAGGGGGACTTGGAAGGTGGAATAGGGCTCTTTTCAGGGCAGAAATGGGAAATGTGGCTGTGAGGATGTGAGCAGATGCTGAGACAAAACTCATGGCTGGTGGCTGAACTGACTCCAACCAACAAGAATTGATCCCTGCAGCTCTCTCTGCCCCTTCTTTGTTGCAAATTTGGGCCCCAAAGGTCACTTCTCACACTGCACTCAACAAAAAATTGTCTTTGAACCACCTTTCTGCTGCCAGTAACTGAATACCTCAAAGCTGGGAAAGGCAAAGGAGGAGGAGATAAGAAAGGAGCAGAGCTGAGTGTGGTGTGCTCGAGGAACCAGCCTCGGTCTGTGTGCTCAGAATTCCACCTTGCTGAGTTTAAATGAATTCAAAGTGCATCTCTGTGATCCAGCAGTGACCTCTGAAGACATTTGGGGACAAGACTTCGATTTTAGCCCTGTAATTCTGCTCAGCACCAAGTTGTTCTGATCCTGAGGCCAAAGGGCAAAGAAATGTCCTCAGATGCTGCTGCAACAGCTGTGATAAATCATTTTTGGTTCTATTTTGGGATGTAAGGGAGATGAACATTTAAATACACACTTCATTCTGGTCAAACACTGTACAGATTCCACAACTTCTGCATTTCCTGTCCCTAATTTTAAAGCATTGCCGTTCATGGCAGCCCTGTAAGGAGCACGTGGCCCTTTTCACTTTTGGGATATTTTGTAAGATTGGGGTTTTTGTGTTCCTGAAGCCTGTCCCCGGGGATCCTGTCGTAGATGACGTGGGAAGCCCAACATGTGAACAAGAACATCACTGCAGGAGAGCAGCTCAAATAGAATGGAAACATCTTGGCCTCATAAAAAAAGTTTCTGCTTTGGAAACGGAACCGTTCTCCCTTCCCCACAGATATTCCCACAAGGTCAGGGCTGGAGTGTGGAGACAGCGCTGGCACCGCTGGGGTTGTGAGCAGGAGCTCGCAGTGCCCTCAGCAGCAGCTCTGGGTAATGAGGAGGGGCTGGGAGGCTTCGGGCTGGACACAGCTCGGGGTCACGATCAGCCCCATCCCGAATTTCTGCCCTGTCCTCGCTGCTCCCCAAGGGCCGTTTGTTCTGAGATGTGTTTGCTCGCAGTGTGCACTGCGGGACGAGCTCTGTGATGTCTCAGGAACATTTCCCACTCCTTCTCCCACCGGATTTACAGTGGACACTGCTGTCACTCACACAGAGCTCCCAAAAAGCTTTTTTGTCACTCCCTGGAGCGGGGATGTGTGGTGTGGAACCACTGTCCCATCCACCACAAAATCCCAGCGCCGGGTGCCCCACAACCACTGGAAGGAGTCTTGGGAATGACAGAATTCCATCGGGTACCCCCGAGGGGTTTCGGCGCTCTGGGGTGGCCGTGGTGTCCCTCGGTGGGGTTTTGGTGACATCCCCCAGTTCCCAGCCCAGCCCTGTGGGGACAGTGCCTTCCTCCAGTGCCACCAGTGTCCCTGGCACTGCCCATCCCAGTGGGGCCGCCAGCCTCCTCCCTGAGC